AGCATCATAAGTACGCAGAGAGCCTAAAGTGGCATGTAAGAGCATGTCATTGACCAATCCTACAATAATACACAGTCCAACTACAGCCTCGGTGTAACGAGAAGAGCAGATAGCTGGATTCAGACCAGAGTTGTCACATAAGGCAGAAAATGTTGAAAATCTTGGCACAAAAAGCTGCGATAACAATGAAGAAACAGTTATTGGCGGTCTACGCCTGCTTCTTATCGTTTTATACAAGCATTCAAAGCCCATTCATGCTTATGTCTACTTTCATTGCTCGACGCTGTCAAAAAGCTATTAGACCAGGTAGAATAAAACCCGGACATTAAATCTAGATATTTTCGCTTAAAAATGAGTTATTGCATTTTTGATGACCCATAATAAAACGATTTGGCACAAAAATGGGCGCTCGCTTACAACATGACACAGAGCAACAGCTTTCGCATGCTGCTTTCGTGAAACCAAAGAAAAATATGTGCAACAGCACGGCAAAGGTAAACGTGTAAAACACTATTAACACAGCTTTGTAGACGGCTGATATAATAACCACGTCATTTTTGAACATTATTTATCCCATCATCATTTCACGGCTACCACCCAGAGAAAGTGCGAGTCTCACAAATCAATCCTAAAAAGACCTCCAAGATATACTGACTGACTTGGAGACCTTTTGGAACTGTGAGCCAGATAATGCCTGATGAATTCACTTTAAGATAGACCACTCGGAAATAAAACCCTTATGGTAACATTTCGTTGATTTTTCTACAAAATGATTAATAATAAGAGGCTATCCAAAGCTCTTAACAAGGACCATTTGGTACGCCTCTCAACAAAGATCAGCACGGAAAATTGCACCCTTGTTTTTTTAAAATCCCGACAATTATCCGATCAAATCCATTGCAACTAAAATTGTTTCTGGGGTAGTTTTAGTCCCGATGCATTATTTCACCATCATGATATAATTCACTGCGGAGCTGACATTACAAGGTCAACCTAAAGTGGTCAATGATAGGCAATTTTCTAACATATTGGGTTCTAGACGAACATACAGATGCTGCTTTTGAAGGAGATTGCTCACCTGAGACGTCGCTTAAAAATCACTTGTCTAATCTCATAATGAGCAAAAATTTACCTGATCGGCACAAAACAACACATGGTGTCTTCTGTTCTGGAGGAACATGACAAGTAAACGACAAAGAAGTGGTCTACAAAGGAAGACTTTACTTCAAATGGACCACTAAAAGCGTTGCAAATGGATTAAATCTTCCATTCTAGCGAGAAAGTACTTCCTAGAGGAGATTACTTTACGTCATTCTCTCGAGCTGCACTGAATTATAACTCTTCGTAAATTTTTCTTAACGAAGACAAAGTATCACCGTGTAGTATGGGTTAACGATGGTTAACGCTATCGATGGTGGGTGCAACGCTAAGTTGGAAACAAATTCCAGCCTCAACAACGGAGACCAGCAACATTCATGTCTCTTGGTCCTGCTTTCTGAAACAAGCTGAATGTCCTGTTCTGTCAAAATAAGTTATGAACTAAAGTAGACCGAGCATTTTTGGAGTGCTTCGGCGATATCAACATCAGTTAGAAGAAATTCGGCTTGCAGCTAGTCGCATTTTGTCGCAGAATTAGATTTCTGGACGGAAGCAGAAAATTTGTCCGGCAAAGACATACCCACTGATCTACCGTTATATGGAACCTGGCTTATATCTTCTTTGGAGTATCGCTTGAAGCGCAATATTGCAGCATGAGCAGTCTGTTTGAAATTATCAAGCTTTTGGCCCCATTTCTAATATCAAATTATACCGATGAAGTAGGCGGTAGTGTAAGTTTGATAATTAGTTTAACTCATCCAGGTTGTTTTGAGTAGGTTCGTCTTACGCATTCAACGGACTGATAGTTTAAATTCAAAGTCACATCCCGATATAAATGATGAAATTATCTTCCGTCCATGCTCATTTACTTAGTTATCTGTTTTACCCAAGGCCAAAACATCGCCTGTAATTCATTGTTCATTTGCCTAAGAGGGTTATTCTCTCATGGAATAATTGTTGAATTTAACATTTCAGCAAAACAGCCTTTTGTAACTCCTTTAGCTACATTCATTCTTCAGAAGAATAGGCTCGGATGAGTTTATTACAGAATTACTCCAGGTATGCTGTCCGTTATCACAGAATTTAGCTTCGACCAAAAGAAGCGGGGTGCAGCAAAACGTAATCACAGTAAAAAGGTGTGACATTTTTGGATAATATCAAACCGCCCTTCGAATTGCAGGGCAAATGCTTCTTATTGGATACTCTTGTATCCTTTAAATTTTATGCGCAGCTTAAGATAGGAACGATTGTATCTACTGAAAACATTAGAAGAAGAGACCTCAACTGATATGCTAACTAAAATGTAGCTTGTTTGGATGGGTAAATTTCAGCATGCCTAAATAATGTTTCAAATGGACGGTCTAACTATGATCGGATCAGAATGACTGACATCAACCTACTTATTCTTCAAATGCATTTCCGCGCCTTTTGTTGCTAAAGAAACGAGCTTCTACCTCTGAACTCTAATGCTGGCTCGCCGCCACTAAACTACTTGCGTTCAACTCACTCAAATAAATCAAATGCGAGTTTCGATTCTCTATCCAAGCAAACATTGATTTTTCATGGGAAGAAACTTACATTATAAAAGTTGAAAACTGGAGTTCGAAGCAGCATTTCACTAGTATAAAACATGATGTGCCAAGAATAGTTTGTGCGTCAGCTGTACCGTAGTATGCCGTTGAATAGTAGTTGCATGTTGTGCATCAGTGACCAATTTCTTCGGGTTGTCATTGTAGGAGGTTAGCCTCCTGGTGCTGATTCGTGGGTGCTCTGTGTGTGTAGACACTGATGTGTGCATCTGGGCCAGTTTGGCTGTCCTGTTGCTTCAGCTGATTTTTCACTTAGACTTGGACAATCTTAAGTTGACTGAGAGTCACCGTGCAAAAGACTAGACAGAAAGCCAGTATCACGTGATGAGGGTCTTAAAACTGAGAGTAAGCCTTGGACTCAGAGATTAATTTGGCAGCATTTATCCATTCCTACATCCTAGGGTGGATATACAATTGCAGACTAGTTGAATCACATGCGGATCAAACTGAGTTAATTCTAACAATGCAAAATATTAATAGGGTTACAAAGGAGAAATTTGAGCGTTCCCCCTTTATGTCCTTTAGGCATAAAGCTATCCTAGAGAAAACATTTACTCTTGCTTTTGTTTTACGTCATGGAAATCAAGAAACACTTCTGCCTTCGTGCATAAGGACTGCAATTTCGCAACAATTACAACTATCCTTGCAAGTTGACAGATGAAACAGCTTCTGGTTTGTGATGCAAAAGAATTTAAGTGAAGTAAGTACTTCAGTGGAATAGTCAAGTGGGTTTGGTTTCTGGCGCTTCTTCTCGCATTTGAATCAGCCTATTTAGATCTCGCGCATCTGTAGTAAGATATCCGATAACTAGGCAATCTCGTACCCAGCTGAACAGTTATCCCCTTTATTACGAGCACACGAAATTCAACGCAGATAAGCAAGCTAACCTTCAACCTGCCGATGCTATTTTAGGCCAAAGGAGCAACCATCTTAGGCAAATTGCGTTCATATATTTGTTTCGAGCATAAAGTACACATCTAAAGGTAATGAGAAAGTAGAAATATATTGTTTGTTTTAATGTGTGGGATTAAAATGGGGGGTTTAGGAAATATCACCCTGGTATACCACAAGATGTCTGTCCCCTGCAACATTCTGGAATAAATTCTACGCACAAAACTGGGCAAACATTTGGTTTTCATGCTTTGTTTACTAAACCCAGAAAATGCAGCGGAGCAACCGTGGTAAATTTGTCTAGAAAATTTCGTTCATAATGTCACCATGCTCGGAATAGCTGTGTTTTCACCACTTACACACGCTCTCGGTAATAATGGTCCCAGGTAGTTTTTTGTGGATCTTTAAAGGTAAGAAGCTGAACGTTCCTAGGAAATTTCAATCCGCACTAACTTTTGATAAGTAGTATCCAGAGGAGTTTGTTTACGCATCTTGTGTCCAAATGCCAAAAACTTGAAATGCACAGAGTATACTGCCTGTCCGAACCACAGGGAAACTGAGGAGAACCAGTGAGTTGATTATATGCAACAATTAGAGGGAGTATTTAGCCGCGCACTGGGATGATTTCTTTTGGAAGGACTGCAAACCACCTTATGTTTGGCTTGAACTGCTGTGAGATACTCTGATGGGATGCAACTCTTGCTGCTGAGTTGTCTTTTGATAAGATCGCCCCAATATGCTACGAAGTGATAAATCGTAAGTGAGCGCGGCTTTGCTAAACTGTGAGAAAATTGCCTTCATATGTTTTTGTGGGTGTGAAATGACTGGAAGGAAAATATTCCTCCGAGCGGAACCCACTGCTGCTAAGAAACCGTGATGAGAATCCCTAAAGATTTTATCGCTGGCATTATTGACGACGTCGTTCGAATTTTACTATTCAACCCTCACTTCTTCCCTCCATTTCCATTGAGTAAATCAAACTACATCAGCACTAACTGACTGAACATTATTCTCTCCTACTACAGCGACCAGTTCAAATTTTAATACTTGATAGAATTCTTATTTGCACACCAGATTCGTCCAACTACCAGGCTTATTCACCTAGAATTTACGGAGAAAAAAGGAATAAGCTTATTTAGTCAGTTAGCGATGCGATTTGCCAAACACTTCCACATAACATGGACTAGAGTTCGACAGAAAGCCATATCTAAGCATAATCTTTCGTTAATCTCTAATCAGTAATACCAATGATCAAAGTCTGGAAACCATTTCCAAAGGTCCCATAAAAACTAGCCAGCATAAAAAGAAGGATAGTTCATTCGTTCTCACTAAAGACAAACATCGATATCTCTAGCCTATTTTGATCAATGAGTAATTCACTATTCACACACTCATCACCAATTATTACCGCTTATCTTCCAGATTATACAAGCGAAGGCAAATCAAAATAAAACAAAGAAAAATATACCTTTGTTCATAAGGGATGCCGAGATCCAGCAGAAACGTCCGCTAAATAACCATAGCGCATCTAGCTTTAGGTATCGTTCAAGGCAACAGAAGCAGCGCGTGAAGGCTCAGAACCATGGAGGAAAACACAGAATTGTAGCAGATGGAAGGAAGGGGCTCCATACCGGAAGTCGCTACAAATTGGAATTCAAATCCGGAATTTTCGGCACAGCTCACTCTGCGGCAGAAGACAGTCAGTCAGATTTGGAAACTGACATGACTACCGAAGATCGGGATGATAGTCGGTCGATTTATGACAAAGACGATGTAAATGTTAGCGGCATCAATGAACTACTAAAGTCAATGCCCAAAGATGGTGGCAGAAAATCCTCAACACAAGCTCACCGTGAAGAAAGAAGGATTAGGCAGCCTAAGGCGAATGCCCACAAGGTAACTGAATTAAGAGTATGGATACTAAAATCACTATAGCTTCATATGCTGAAAAAAGTTTGATTATTTTTACACAGTAACCTCTCTCGAGAATTTTACTCTCAGTGATATGGTTACTTTGCACACCGTACACAAAGTACCAACCTAACAACATTCGTGCACTAAAGAGCAAACAAAGCAATTACCTTATTAGAGCATATAGGGCCAACTGTCCGGTTTTACCTAATAACTACCGAAACACGATTATGAATATGGAGTATTCACTGCTGCACGATAAGTAAAAAGAGTACCTTTTAGTGTCCAGTATGTGAGCAAATTTCGAACAACCAAATGCCCACCTGCCTCTGTTGCTTGCAAGTGGTCAGATTTCAGGCCCACCAAGAATCCAATCAAGCGAGGTAAGCTTTAGTCCCTTCACAGTTTAGCTTAAATCCGATTCAAAGTCTAGTTGTGGTTTGGACGGGAACCAACAGTGTTTTTCTTGAGTGATAGCCGCTTTTGAAGGTAACTCTGTGCAAAGATAGATCATCCAGAGACTAACCAAGTGACTAAATAGATGGATTGTAAACTGACCCAAAGGAAAGTAAATGGAGTTAGCGTCCAATCGCCGGTACTTGTTTCCTATGGAATCACGAGATGGATGCAGACTGAGAACATACGAGGACGTGATGATCTATCAAACCTAATTATTATAAGTTTTGATAACGCACCACCATTTGACCAACCTTTGATTGCTCAGGCTGCCACCTGATGTCCATACCTCCCCAAAATTAGCAAGGTATCTGATGCTTCAGAAATATTTTTTGAATAATGTTCCACATTCCACTTAAAGCCACAGTTTTCTCACATTTGTATCTTGTTCCAATTAGGTGCCACGAGAATTTACAGAGGAGGATTTTCAAGAGGATCTTACGGATATTAGACTTGAAAATGAACTGCAAGTGAAGAGACTGGTTGACAAAAAGAATGCCGCGCTGACAGTGATGCAACAGGCGAAGGCCGAGCTGACAGTGATGCAACAGGCGGCGGAAGAAAAGCATGGGGAGCTGCGTCGTGCGATAAGTAGGCTGGAGGCCCAACTAGCGGCTGCCGTTCAGAACGCGGAATCAGTGAAGAGACAATCAGAGGAGCGAGTTAGTGCATTCAAAGAAGATATTGACTTGAGTTTTTTCGTATCAGTTACTCTTCTAAATTTGTATAGAATGGACTAATCGTTTCGTTTCCGTGAGAAGAAATACAGATCTAGACCTTTCAGATAACTGAAAGCGAGATTTTAGGTTGAGAAGTTAACATCGATTTCTCATTGTCTCACCGATATATTCAAAAAGGGTATATGTTTACCGCCAAATGGGGCTTGTTTTTAACATTCACAAAGGCCCATCTGATGTAAAAGCAGTGTTTTCGGAATAGGCGCGGATAAGTGCAAAACTGGGGTAACTAGATAGTCTGTTAAATATTGCTTCGCTGTCAAAGCGCAAAACGCTGCTGGAACCAGTGTCTTTCGGTAATTACGAGGACTTCGAAGGTGACTTGCACTATACCGTGTGTTCGCCGTCATCTGGTACCCGAACCATCGGTGGTCAGCCAATCCACGTGTGTGTAGTTTTTCATGATCAAAGAATTCCGGCAGCGATATATATATATATATATATATAT